AAGTATCTGAAGGGGGAATGTCAAGAGGATGAGGCCAGTCTCTTCTCCGTGGTGCCCAGCAACAGGACAAGAGGCAATGGGCAGAAACTGAAACACAGGAAGTTCCACCTAAACCTGAGGAAAAACTTCCTTACTGTGAGGGTGACAGAGCATTGGAACAGGTTGCCCAGAGAGGTGGTGGAGTCTCCTTGCCTGGAGATACTCAAAACCCGTCTGGATGTGATCCTGGGCAATATGCTCTAGAGGTCCCTGCTTGAGCAGGGAGGTTGGACTAGATGATCTCCAGAGGTCCCTTCCAACCTAAACGATTCTGTGATTCTGTGATTCCTCAGAAGCATGTATATCCGCTCAGAAAAAATATCACTACTGACTGTTTTGTGGCTGGTCAATTACCAATAAATATATACAGAAAAAATTTATGATCTTTTTAGTTAGATAAGTGGTTTTAACTGATATGTATATCAAATTATTTATTTGTTACGATAGCATTTCACAGTACTAAAATTTTAGAAATGATTTGCTGGTTTTATTTTCTTTTTAAATTTCAGCAATCCTATAAGGAAAATGGATTGGTCAGTGTAATTTCTGCTTAGTGATTCTCTGGTCTAAGTACAAGGCAAGTTTCATGATGCCCTAATTCCCAGTGCTTAACTCAATCCAAAGTAGGTTTTCCTAGAGTTCAGAAAACTTTTCATATGCGACAGTGTTATTAGAAATGAAACCTGTCTTATGAAAACTGAAAAGTTTGAATGCAAGGTTAACCTAAATATGAGATTGCTTTTGCTGATTGTAAATAATGACTATGATGGTAAAGGGAATTTCATCAGCTGCAAGTAAAAATAACCTAATGCTTAAAAAACGCTGACAAAAAATAGCCAATCTCAAAATGAAATAATGGAAGCTGAGCGACTGAGGCCACGCCATTCAAGCCAGTGAGGGGTTTTCCATTCACTTGAACAGGAGCAGAGACAATTCCTTGAAGAACACGTCTGTTAACAGTTGCTTCAAACAAACTAGTATTTCCCAGTGCAAAGAAGAACTTACTGTCAAAAAAATCCCTGACCCTAAAGAAGTGCCTGTCATAGCCGTCATGGTAAAACGGGGAAAATGCTGGTAAAATGGTAACATATGTCATGGTAAAAAGACCAACATAGCACAATCAGGTGTCCTGGTAGCACCGCAGAAAAGGAGGACGTGTGCCTTTCCTTGCTTTGCCCTATGAACTGCTTCTAATTTTCTGAAAAAGAGCTTGCTTTGAAGTCGTGTAAGCTCGAAATTTTTGGCAGGTCACTTGAGGAAGTGCTGGTATGCATTTAAGTGTCTCCTGCCTCTACTCACTGATACTCTGTTAGCTTTAATGAGCACATATGTATCTATCAAAATAGACCTTGAACTTGAAAACTTAAGCTAGGCACTTAAAGAAACACGTCCTGTCTGCTCTGCCGCTTCTAAATGATCTTTTATCATTGGTAGATGATATAAGTGAGCCTGACACCAAACAGGGGTCAGATACAGTTTCAGGAAACTGTCGTATCCTTCTTCACGTCATTAATAATAGAAGGAGCGTGCATAGCCAGGAAGCAGGAGCTTGGGCTGTTTTCATTATTACTCAGCAGGAGGGAAACATGGATTTCTCCGTTTTGCCAAACAACAACCATCCTGACAAATTCCTACAACTGGAGGTGAAGTCTTTAGTGAACAACTCTGCCTTCCTCCAAGCCAGCCTGGCAAACTTCCCAGAAGCAGCTTTACCTGGAGTGCAGCGGTGGCACAACAGAATCTATTTGCAGGTAAGGACTAACAGAGGCTAACTTTTTTCCTGATTTTGCTACCTCGATTTGGGGAGCTGGAGACAAACAACACATGAGTTTGAGCCTTCTGCTGCAGAATCAGCCTCCAGCGTCCCTGGATCCACACCACTGATATCCTCAGAAGTTTTCTCATTGACTTCCGCGAGGGTCAGGCTCCCGCAGAAGAGTCACCATCTTCATGGTGGTCCACCTACTTTATTTCAATACGTTAGGCTTTTTACTGCTTGTCGTGGCATTTTCCTAGCATTTCCCAGCAAGTCTCTTAATGACAAATTGCAATGCATTGTATTAAGGGGGCTGATGGAACTCCTTCGCTGAAGAAAATCGAGGTAGGAGAACGAGGGAAAAAGAAATCCACAGCAGATAAAAACCAGGTGTAAACCTGAATCCCAGGCTGTATTCCTCTAAGCCAGTGAAGTGCTATATGGCATTAGAGATTCCTGCTAGCGTCTCGCTAGCTTGTATGTCTACCCAATTTACAGCAGCTTCCTCCGTTTTGCCTAGTTTTCCTCTTTCTGCTTGCACCTTTCAATTGTCCTGATCGGGGGCTGTCCTAAGCGTGAAACGTACTGACCGTGTTAATGCAAGTTACTACAAAGAGGTAGTAGCAGTTTCTGGGTGAAAACATCAATCTGCCCTGCACAGTGGAGGCCCTGGAGCTCAGGGGGCAGACGAGCTCGGGATGCGAAGCAGCCCAGCTGCATCAGCTCACACCCCACCGGGCCTCACTTCCTACTTCCCCAGCGCTTTTTTCCGGCCGCCCGGGGAGCCTCTTGCCTTTCCCCACCCCTGGCGTGAGTGCAAGCTCCCAGGTCTGGTTCTCGTCACGGGATGGGGAAGCACGGCAGGGGCTGGGGGGGACGGAGAGGGCTCAGGCATCCTGGCCATCCTTAGGGTGGGGGCTCAGCACCCCAGGGGAGCCAAAAACCCTCAAGCTGAGGAGGCGAAGAGAAAGCGCCGCAAAGCCTCCCATGGCTACTTGCAGTCCTACCACTTCTTCTCAGCCGTTTCCCTTCTGCTCCCTGCAGGATCCTGGTCCAGACCTCATCTGCAGGCAGATGTCCTCCCCTTTCTGCCCTTTCTGCCCTCCCAACCTTTCCTAGCCCCTTCCTTACCCCAAAGCCCCGTGTC